GTTAGTCCTGTTTTACAACAGTGGCACCATGCAGTATTTGTCCTTTGGTAACTGAGATAACTTCACTCAGCATATTGTCCTTCAGGGTCACTCATTTTGAATAATATTGCATGTGTTCCTTGTTTTTCAGTGCAGCATTGTATTCCATTGTGTGAATATACCACAGCTTCTCTATCCATTTGTTTGTTAATGGACACTTAGGGTGTTTCCAACTCTTTGGTAATGTGAACAAAGCCAGGATAAACATGGATGTCCGTATATCTGCTAGGATGGCAATTATGGTCTCTGTGGGGTATACTCCCAGCAGTAGAATTGCTGGGTCAAATGGTATCTCTATTTGCAACTTTTTGCGAAAGTGCAATACCACCTTCCACAGTGGTTGCACCGAGAGTTGTTAATCATAGGCTTGCACAATTCGATGGTGTTTGAGTGAAATGGGAAGGATCTTATGTGAAAAAACATATATTCAATCTGTAAAGCAATCAGCATAAAATTAAAAAAAGAAATGCTAAGCATTTTCTTACTCTTCTGTTTTCTATCTTCAGTTGTTTGTACATTTCATTACAATACTTTGTCTTTTCAGATCTTCCTCTGAAATTCTGTTCTCTTCTTATACTCCTATCATTCTCATATTTGCTTTAACCACTGAACTTTCACAAGCGAGTTTGAGTTTCTTCTGACATGCATTTTGTCTTTCCTCTTTTTTAGTGACTTTATGCTATCTTCATGAATGATGCTGCTGATATTATCCCACAACTTCTGTAATCTTTTGTCTTTACTGTTCAATACTTCAAATATATTCTGTGATGGTGTCTAAACTTAGGTTTATATATTTGAAGTCTTACTATGGAGCAATTATGTCCATTTGAGAATTATGGTGAACCTGATTCAGGTCATGGTCTTTCAGCAACTTGCTATGCATGTGAAGTCTGGACAATAAATAAGGATGACATAAGAGAAATTGATGCTTTTGAACTGTGGTGCTGGAAAGAGTATTGAATATCCCACAAACTGCCAAAAGAACAAACAGATATGTCTTGGAGAAGGTGCAGCCATGG